GTTCAGAAATAGAAGTTACACATGCGCATAAGACTAGAGCAGTAAAGAAACGCCCTATTCGAAAGCGTGAAGTAAAAGGTAAAGTTAATTATCAAGCTTGATGATCTTATATATAGCCACAAAGTGAAGTAAATCACATCACGTTATAATGGGCCTTAAGGGAGCGATGTTATGTGTTTTATTTCAAAGAAATGGCTCCTCGAGCCTAAATCCACAAATCGGAGATCAGCATAGAAGTATTTCGGTACTAACCAACTCACTAACCGCACTTATTGCAGAGCAATGACTCTTTGGGTCTACCCTTAAGCTAAATTATTTATCCACGATTGCCAGTGAAGATCAAGTGATAATCTCTCCTGGCCCATACTAAATAATTCGTGAATGAACGGATCGCCAAATCCGAAATTACTAATTTTTGATTGTAGTGTTTTGTGTCTAGATATGTTGATCTGTAAAAATTGCTAGATGCGGAGCATCCTCATTTCATGAGACATTATAAAACATGCATTATTTGCTTGAAATATAGCAACATAACATGTCTTAAAACCCTCGCATTAAATATTCTTAAAAATGGCTCTTCTGAAACTATTGCAAGCGGTGTTAAAGTTCCTGAACTAGATCCGTGTTCTATATGCAATAAAGAAATTTTTTTGCACATATTTAAAAAGTCATTCACTGTATTAACATGTGGTTATACTGTGCACTGTCTTTGTCTTGAGAACCTTAGAGAAACTATGTTTACATATCCTATCAATAATTGTAGTGCAGAAATCAAAATCATTGAAAAGTCACCACTAATGCGGGCTCCATCACAAAGAAGTATGAGCATAGATGAAGGATCACAAGATCCATTAATATTTGGTAAAAATTCTTTAGTGAATCTAGATACAATCATAGAAGAGAACTCTGAAAATAATTTACAAAACAAAGTACCTGGCATACCTGACTTCACTACAAGTAATTTACTATCTAAACGTGTTGGTGAAGCTACCTCTGCTAAATCGTCAAATAAAAAAAAGAAATCCGCAAATAGAGAAGATTCTCCCGTATTGAAAAGACTTATTCAAGAACTGTCAACTAATGATCCCAGAAAAACAGTAACTTCGCAATTTGAATCTACTTCTGAAACAAATACCGACTCAGTTAATTTTCTTGATCTATATAATAAAATTATAACTTTTGAAGATATTAATGAAAAAACATCTCAAGATGTTATTCTTAGCTATTTTCATTTTGGAAAAGCATTGGAGGATCGTTTCAATCACTACAGAAAAATCAATCCCAAACATACAGCTTAAGGGTTAGTTAATAATGAGGTTAGAACTCAGCTTCCTGAAATAGTTAGTGAAAGCTTATTTCGAAAGACAAAAGAAAGAGCTTAGAAAATTTACAATATTTTTAATGAAATAGGTATAGATAAGATTCAAAGAATTTGGTCTTTTACAGCTACAACAATAGCAAATATATCTCAGGATGATATTGATTTTGTATTGGCCAAACTTTCGATTTTAAAAGATAAATAATCCATTATGTAGTTACGTGACATTGTGACAAGCTGTCACAATCTATGTAATAAAATTTAATCGTGTTAGCATTTATGCATAAATATGCCTAATTTTTAATAAAGTATTTTGGTTTGTCTGCTGGGCTTAATGTTAACTTTGAAGCATGGTAAAAAATTCTCCTGCTTATGCATAATTTATTTGAGACGGGGCACAGGCACATGGTGCCACACATTACAGGTTTGTATTGTATAAAAAAAAATTAGCCACAAATACAAAGTGTCATTTTTTTCATTTTTCTGAGTACCCTAACCTCATCGTGACAAATACACGAAACTTATAATTTTCAGTAGTGTATAGACTAGTACAACTCGGGTTCATAGGATTTTAATACTAGAAAATGAAGAAAACTTCGCTTAAAAAAGTTTACAAACCAATATTACATACTGTACAAGAATTTATCATATAAGGTTAAAACAGATAAAGCATGTTAAATAGTATAATAAAGTTCTTTAGTTTAGATTTTACGCGTAATGTCTCAATCTTTTTTTTTGTTAGCCATTTTCAGCATATAGAGCTTACATATAGTTAATATGACATAATACAGTAAATAGTAAAAATTTTCGCTTATAAGTGAGTTACTGATTATTTTTGATACT